TGGCAACCTATGGCCCGCAGGCTGGGTGTGACCCACAGAGGCCTTTGGACTGGCTCCTGCCCGGTCCTGCCAGTGCCGCACCGCTGCCTTTCATGGCTGCAGGGGTCTTCTGGGGCACCGTTTTGGATTCCAAAATGGCACCCCAGAGGACCCCCATGGCAGCGCTGGGCCACTCGGAGGCCTGGCACGGTCAAGGGAGCCCTCCTGGGGGATCCCCATGGTGGCACTGGGCCTCTCGGAGGCCAGGCGCGGCTGAGGGAGTCCTCCTGGGGGCCCCCGCCATTGTGCTCATGCATGTGCATGCGACGCAGGGGGTGCGCCATTTTGTTTTTCAAAATGGCGGCATGCGCACATACATGCACACACCACCCCCCAGTGCCATTCCCCTCCTCTGGCCCGTCGGCAAAAAAAGTTGCCGACCCCTGCAGTAGAGCCATTGAATCAATGGGATTTACCTATATGTTGCCTAACCATTCAAAAATTGATTCAGCAGGTCTATTCTAGCTGGGCTTAATCAATAGGATTCCAGCTGTTATTTGAACATGCATGAGTTATACAAGAATGATAGTTGCCACCTCAGTCATGCTTTAGAACAGCAGTGTGAATCATTAGGCTCTTCAGATGTTGTTGGATTGCCACTCATTATTGGCTTTATTAACTAGGGTGATTTTGGGAACAGTAATAATCTTTCCCCCATAACTAGGTATTCTTTAGCCAATGTTCTACATTTGTGGATTGACATTTACCACTGTGTTGTTGTTATGTGCTTTGGGGTTGACTCCAACTATGGTGACCCTATGGTGAACCTATCATAGGGCTTCCTTAGCAAGCTTGAGTCACAAGAGATTTGCCATTGCCGTTCTCTAAGGATAAGGTCACCAAGACACTATACAGACTGACAGAAATAATCCAGTTTGAGACCATTTTAACTGTCCTGGCTTAGTGCTAAGGAATCATGGGAACTGAAGTTTATTGTGGCACCAGAGCTCTCTGACAGAGAAGGCTCAATGTCTCAGAAAATATTACAATTCCCATGATTATCTAGCACAGAACCAGGACAGTTCAAGTGGCCTCAAACTGGATTATTTCTGGCAGTCTGTATAGGCCCCAAGTTGGTTTCCATGGCCCAGTGGGATTTGAATCCTGGTCTCCTGGAGTCCTAGTCCAGCATTCAAACCACTAGAGCACAGTCACTTCGGACCAGTATCTAAGGAGTTGTCATAGAGAGGAGGGCACAGTTTTGTTCACTCCTGCCACAGAGAGTGGGACCAGGTTTAATGATATTAAGTTACAGAAGGGTAGATTTCGATTAGAAGGAACTTCTTGCTGGTAAGAATGGTTCAGTAATGGAACCAATTACCCAGAAAGATAGCAGAATCTTTTCCCCTTTATGTCTTCAAAAAGAGACTGGACAGCTATTTGATGGGGTAGCTGGAATCCCTGCAATAAGCAGGGGATTGGATTTGTTGGCCTACAAAGTCCCTTCCAACTCTGTGATTCTATGACTATTATATTATATGACTATTCAATGAGTGGTTTGAGTATTAGATAATGATTCTGGAGACCAAAACCCAAATCAGGTTCAGCCATGGGCAAATCTTAGGACCTTATCGCACAGGGCCCAAACCAGACAGAATCCAAACGAAATCCCGACCTAATACATATTATTTTTCAGTGTTTCCACACGACGTCGCACAGAACCCCGACAGAACCCCGACAGAAAGCGGAAAGAACCGAGATCTTTTGAATTTCGGTTTCTTCAGGAATTGCAATTGCGCGACGGGAATCATTTCGCATTTACCGTAGGTCTGATAAACAAATACGTATTGTGGCGCATTTCCCCGCTGTTGCCATGGTTCCAGCGAGCATTCCTCTCTCTGCGCATGTGCAGGAGGCTCATTTCGGCTACATTTACGGGTTTTTTTCTCTTGTGTGTGGATACTCGATACACTTACTGTAAAAGCGCAATGAAGGTAATGACGTTTGCGGAAACAAGGGTTATTTCCCGTTTATTTTCGGGATGCCTCGTTTCCACTTTATTTTCAGTTTTCTGGGCCACGTGTGATAAGGTCTATACTCTCATCCTCAGACGAAGGCAAAGGGAAACCCACTCTGAACAAATCTTGCCAAGAAAACCCCATGGCCTTAGCATCACCATATGTCAGAGACAACCTGAAGGTAAAAGGGATAGCAATAATGACCTTCAGAGTACTTAAATATATTGTGGGAACTGAAAAACCAGATGTGATTCTTTTTCATTCAGGGAAACAAACAGATGGACAAGGTTCCTTCACTTTTCTTCCTAGTGAAGAGCAAATGCATCCCCTTTTATTTACCAAAGCAGATTTACTTGATATATCAGTGCACTTCACACAATGAGGTTAGGAAGGTGAGATAAAATTAAAACTGGAATCATTTCCAGTTAAAAGAATATGAAAATAGCCCAGTGTTGTTTTAAAACTGGATATTAATGAGCAGACTAAAACCACCCTAGTGCAACTGTGATAATCTTCAATATTATCTTCTTTTCCTTCTGATCTTGGCTTCAGAAAAGACATCATGGTCACTCTGGTAATTAGGACACATTTAGATGAGACATAATTGCAGAGTATAAAGTGAAATGAAATCATGCAAAAGGCAATGGGTGTGATCCTTGAAGCCAATGAGGAAAACTAGGGAAAGGGAGTGGCTTCATCTCTGGAGAAATAAAGACATAGGACTCTCCTCCTGCCATCCAGATCTAGCAGTAAAATCTGGAGCCTGTCTAGAATATTATTTTCTGTGCAGAAAAAAAATGCTGTTTCCTGCACAGATTTTCTCCCCTTTATACATAACAAGCATGGGCAAATTGTGGATGGGATGTTCCAAATTGCTAACACAGATTGAGTTTCCCTTTTCCGAAATTCCAAAATATGAAATATTCCAAGATCCAAAAAATTTTCATGGATGGCTGAGATAGTGACACCTTTGGTTTCTGATGGTTCAGTGTAAACAAACTTTGTTTCATGCACAAAATTATTAAAAATATGCTATAAAATTACCTTCAGTCTAAGTGTATAAGGTGTATATGAAATATAAATAAATGTTGTGTTTTGACTTGGGTTCCATCCCCAATATATGTATGTATATGCAAATACAGGTATTCTGAAATACAAAACAATCCAGAACCTCAAACAGTCCTGGTCCCAAGCATTTCAAATAAGAGAAATTCAACCTGTGCTTTTCAAAAACTTTGTGTGCTTTACTCATTTAGCAAAGAGAATTTCTTAGATTCCCATTGCTTCCTTCAAGAAGACACATAATAAGGAATTGTGTGTGTTGTGTGCCTTCAAGTCAGTTCCAACTTATGGCAACTCTAAAGTAAACCTGTCATGGGGTTTTCTTGGCAAGATTTGTTCAGAGGAGGTTTGCCATTGCCTTTCTCTGAGGCTGAGAGCATATGAGAGCATGTGAGAACAATCAGGTCTTTCTCTGCCACATCAGGACAGTTGGAGGATATGAAAATATTTTGAAAATCATGCCTTTGGGGGATGGACTGGAGGCTTAGGAGCTGAAATTGAGTTGGGGCCCATGGGCCATATTTTCCCCATTCTGGCCCAATCAGTTGACTTTCTCCTCTGAAACAATTGTGAATTTTATTTTTTTAAAAATCTAAATTTTACCTTTATGCCTTCTCTTGCTCTAACCTTTAATGTGTTCTTTTAAACACAGGAAGTTCAAAATGGCAAAGATCCTACATCAGGGTTGTGTTGCAAAATTGTTGCATGTGGAGATATGCATGAATGATGCTACTTAACCCTTGAGCTGAATTGTAATGTCATGCCACTGGACCGACCAAACCACAAAATTTGTAACTGAAGGTAGAACTGAAGGCACAATGAGCAGCCACAAACAATGACACTACATGTACAACTCCTCTTCTGTAACCTGAAATAGGACACATACTTTGTAAGAGCCAGCATGGTTTGTAGCAGTTTGACTCTAACTCTGAAAGATCAGGGTTCAAATCCTGGCTCGGCCATGTAAACCCACTGGGTGACCTTGGGCATGTCACAATCTCTCAGCTTCAGAGGATGGCAATGGCAAACTCCCTTTGGAGACACATGCTGGAGCCAGAAATGTTTGCTGTCTTGTTTTGCGTGGAGTAGCTTGTTCTTATCACCGCTTTATTTTTTGTGAAATTTCACTACCTGAATCCTTCAGCTAATATTAAGGAAGGGATTCTTCCCACCCGCAGTGAGAAGAAACCAAGATCTCTACTAACAGTTCCTATAAGATAAACTCCCCCACCTCTCTTTTCGCTCTCCTTCCACCCCCCACCTTCGATCAACCTGCCAAATCGACTTGTCATTCCTGCAGCTAACTCTGGGAAGGAGTTCTCAGACCCTTCCCTCAGAGACCTGAAATCTAACCCAGAAGGTCTCTGGGGTCAAGCTCAATCTTTCTCAAAAGGGCTTCTTGCATGATTTGATAGTCACCACAGTCATTATCAGCCAGCCTGCCAATGGCCTCTGGGGTTTTCCATTGAGCAAGGGTCTGAACTATGCTGCCCATGGGCTCCGCTCACCAATTATAAGTTGCCCGCACTTTGCAAAAAAAGACTCCAATAACATATCAACATAATTCCCTTCCCCTTGTAATGAGGAAGCAATTTCTCCTTATTATACCGGACTCAATATGCATGGACTGACCCAGGAGGACCCTGGCTCACCCCTCTCCTTTCCCTCTGGAAATCATATTCCAGCCTCATCTTTTCCATTTCAATTTCTTCTCCCTTATCATATCCCCCTCTGTCGTCTTTCTTGATCCCATCTTTGTCCCATCTTTAACTTTCTTCCTGGATTCATCTTCACTAATCTTTTCTTTCTTTCATTACACTCCCTTTTCATTAAATAAACATCCCTCACTTTCTCTCTTCCCCTTGACTGTTATGTGAATATATATATATATATATATATATATATATATATATATATATACACACATATATATATTCAAATAGCAGCATGGCATACTGGTTTGAGTGTTTGACTACAACTTCAGAGACCAGGGTTCGATTCCCAGCTTGGTCATGAATTCCACTGGCTGACCTTGGCCAAGTCACACTCTCTCAGCCTCAGGGGAAGGCAATGCCAAACCTCCTCTGAACGACTTTGGCCAAGAAAACCCCAGGTCCAACTGAGCATCATGCCATGAGTTGGAAATGACTTGAAGGCACACAACAACTATATGCTTAACGTTATGGAATTCTGGGAATTGTAGTTTAATGTGGCACTAGAGCTCTCTGACAGAGAAGTTTAGATGGTTCACAAAGGACCTTATCCCACGGGGCCAAAAGCAGCAAGAATCCACTAA